TTTTTTTTTGAAGGATTTGTTTAAAAAATCATTTTATAATTAATATTTTTAACAACAAATAGTTGAATTGAAAATTTTTTTTATATAAATTATGTAAGTAATTTTCATATTGATCTAAGCATATATAACTTTTTAATCAAAGAAACTATATTTATTGACATATAATTAATGTTGTTAAAATTTACGTAATTAATGAACTAATTAGGCTTACTTGACTAATATAAAAATTGACACACATTATTTATATTAAAAGAATTTTCAATTCAATTATTGAATTTTAAAAATATTAATTAAAAAATATATATATATATATATTTTTAAAGATGTCTTCCATAAAAGTTCACATGCAAAACACTTTTCTCATAAAAATATATATTTATATATCACATATATAGGTATTTACCCTTATTCCTAATACTTAACCTGATATAGGAGTTTCTATCCCATCTAAGGGTTAATTTTATGCAGCCGACCACAGTAGCACAAGCTTAACTTTATAAACAAAAATACTCCATCCGGCCTGGTACGAGGAAAATTATTATTGATAATAAAATCTTACAACATAACATATTATAATTTGAGAAATACTTTTTGTATAACTTTTTTGTCTCACCTTTTTATACAACATGATATTAATTTATGTGAAATCCGTGATATTAAATGCATCTACTTATTTAATAACATGTGGAAGTTATATAAAAAAATGAGACCTAAACATCACCCTTATAATTTATATTGATTATTTTAATTCAAATAAGATGCTCAATATTGTATATATCTATTTGTTTGATATCATATGGATATGTGAAGATGCATGGTAAGAAATTACTGTATACCATAATTGATACTTGCCTTCTTATTTTTACCTTTAATCACAATTAAACCAACATAAATCAGGATGTCTTTCCTAAAATAGAAAGTGAGCACCCCTTTCTAATAAATGAGACAAACCGGAGTCCTAAAATTTGAGTCCAAATCTGACTCTATCCAATATCAAATTTCATATTTCATATTTCTAAAGTTTTTACTTCAGGATGATTATGAGGATTGTTTACATAAATGAGCCAGTTGTGATTTTCCAAGTTAAATACAATGAAACTCGAGCTAGCTTGTTCACCATAAAATGAATGACCAAGCTTTTTAACTGATCAAGACCTAAGAGCTTGTGAGCAGCTAAGCTCGTTTTCACTGTCAAGGAAGTAATTCTCCTGTGTCATAACCTACCATTAGAAGATTAAAACGGAAAAGGAAAAGTCCGAGGAGTCTGTTTATTCTAAATAATTTGTCTGTATTCTGTATTCAGAATTAGTAACTGAAATGTCTTTTAACCCCATAGTCTAGTCTCTCCAAATACAAAATACTGCAGGCATAAATGCTGATTTTCAAATGTTTGTTAATGTAATTGGCCAAAGTGAGGTCCAATTTTTTATCACGTAACAGCCTGATCAAATCAAGGCGAAATGGGGTATTGGAAAAGGTAAAATACCATGTACAGAAACTCGGAAGATAATGCACAACTGGGTTACCTTTATGCCAGTCAGAAACAATTGATTTTGATGACCCTAGTTGATAATAGCTCCTCCTTCAGTTAGCAGCTTTGACAACTTCCTTGAAACAAATTTGACCATTGATTGGGAGAACCTAACATATAATTGCAAATGAATAAAATTGAAATAATGAGAGGGGATGAGATGATTGGAAAAGATAGAATCCTACTTGAATCCAGCAAATGAATTTCAATGTCTGTATCAGCATTGTTAAGAGTCAACAAAAACTGTAAGTTGGCAGTATCAGCAAACATGGAAATTATCATGCTCATCTTCCAGCATCAAATGATCTGCAGTATCGTGGCCAACAAGAGTTCCTAACCTGGTATCGAGAATTCCTAATAACATCAGCACTTGCATATGATGTTATGATGTATGTAAATAAAAAAACGGGGTATGCCAACTTGTCCTTGCGCATTGTTCTTTGTAGGACTTATTATGAAAAGTTAAAAATTTGAACCTGATAAGGTCAGTCAAAATGGAAGTTATAGTTTTTAATGTAATGCAATGATTACATTAAAAAAAGCCAGTGACAGTTTCTGGTGATACTCTTCGCATTACATGGCCAAAGATCTTGGATTCTCAGGACATGCTAACTAAACTGTAAAGAATAGTTGAGGATCTTTGACAACTAAAACATGATGTGGCCATGTAAGATCCAGGTTATCCAAGATCAGCTCAGTCATTTGACTTTGGTTAGAAAATGACTTCTTCTTTTTTCTTTTTTTTTTCCAAAGCATAAGGTTGGGTTAGAAAATGACTCCTTAAAGTTCATTTTTATCATTATTTGCTGATTTTTTTTTTTTTCCTTTCTCCCTAAAGAAAACAGGGACTTACAGCTAAGCCATTCCCCTTCAAAATTTCCAATGACTCAGCAAGCTCCACTTGTTTTGATGCAGTTGCAAGTAATGCCTACAAAATATAAAAGATTTTGTTCAGTAATAGCCAGAAAAATTTACAATTGAAGGCAGAAATTCTTGTTACCAATTAGCACAGAAAAGTCGAGAGCAATCAATTCTAGAAGAATGGCATCATACTTTATTCGTCTTCTGTAAATCATGTTCTATGGATCTTATGCGACTCATGGATTCAAGGAGAATGTCATCCTTTTCAGGAGGAATTTTTGTAGGTTTGTTGACGAGCTCATCTACTATTGCTTCTAAATGTTGTAGCTTCTGCCAGCATGGATGCAATGATTCCTCTTCCACTACTGATGGCTTGCATTTCTTTTGAGACCTTGAATCCACCAACTTAGTATTTGACTGCTTCTCTAATTGTTTTTTTGCATCTTGCACTAGAAATGATCTTCCAAGTCTAGGGATTAAGAAAACAAACCAGACTAGAAATTTGAGTACAAAACCAAAGAGTAGTCTGGTAACATGGCAGACAAACTTCTTCACTGGCTTTCCATCTGAAGCATTACTTGTTAAGTCATCTGCCAGAAGCAGTAAATCTGGATGTAAAAGCGTGCATAGGGAAGCAGAAGTTACATTTTCAATTAGAGGCATTGGCACAGTGATCGAGTAAATAACATTAATGAATAAAACGACCTTGGTCCTACAACAACTTGAGTTTGGATATAATAATATTTAAAAGGAAATGTTAAGGAACCTTGGGAATCCTTAGGCAGCTAAACTGACGAAAGTTTTCAACAGCATGATTGTAATTTCAAAAGAATAATAATAAAATGTTAAGAGCCTTAAAATAATGCTTCTTGTTTATTATCCTATTTGTCATTACACTATCTAAACAAATGGATACCATCTTGGTTTTCTATATTACTGTTGCTTTGAAGTGGAAGGTATAATGGATACAAAAAGATTCAGCAATAAACTAAACTTCGAACTAGTAACTAGCCTATAGCAGTTATCTTGTATCATGCATGTAAAAGTCCTACATTCAGTCTTGGTCAGGCAAACAAGTTCAAATGGGCATGAAAAGACTTCACTAAGATCCCAATCAGGCCAATTTGATTAAAGCATGGTTTTGCATACAAGTTGCTGGTACAATTATCTTTGGTTTTGCTTGAATGAGAACCCTCATTTAATTATATGATAGTTATTATAACATTGGTTAAGCCAGAAAAAGTAAACAACTGTCTCACAAGAGTAGGAACACTAGAGTGAAAGATGCAAATCATGTTTAGAAAATATAAAATAAACTTGGAATGTTAAATCAATGGCATAAGAAAACATATAATGCTTAGAAAAAATTGCTTCGTGATCACCTACTTTGTGAACTAGATTCTTCAACTGCGTCATTAGCTGCTTCAATGAGGTGGTCCATGGAGGCAGGGTCCCCTGTCTTTCCCTGCCACAAGTAAGGACAAGCAACAAATGTTAAAAGTATTTCTCCACAGTTGTATACTAGAAAAAGAAAACGAGCAAACCTTCCTATTTGAAGCGTACATCTCAATAAATACATATTTTCTATGGTCATCAGATAAATGCATTAATGAAATAAATTAAAGATAAAAAGGAATAAGGAGTTGTTTCAATTCAAATGAAGAAAAAATGGTTCAATGTGGCAAGTAACAAACTAGTAAGATAGTCTATTCAGTAATCAACAACCACTTCAATAAAATAATTTATCTGCTCCAAAAATATTTTGCAAAATTGAGTCCAGATAAAAAATTTTAGCAGATGTTTACAAAGAGGTAAATTTTTAGAATTCAACAAGTAGATCTTACTTCCATATTTAATTAATATTTCTGGCATTTTTGAATCTTTTTAACTGAACCATATAATTAATTCATCTATTCAAAAAGCGCACAAGCATGCAATTTTGCAAATGCTTGCCCAAAACTATGTAACATACTGAACTGAATCTGCAATTTTTATTTCAAAATTTGTATGCACTATATAATCAAATAGCCAACACTGATAATCCAGAACCACTGGAGAAAACTTGACTGGACTGTTGATCAGCTAGGTTAATAGATGGGCATTAGGCTTAACTAACAATTGGTTGAACCATATGAATCACTTGGATTGGACAGAAAATATTCTTCCAGACGCTAAAAAGTTCCAAAAGAAGAAGATCACATAACATGGCTGCCAAATATCGCAAATTAACTCCTCAAAAACACTAAACAGTTTAAACTTCTAATATTTACAACATTAACAGTTTCAAATGTTTGCAAACATGTACAAAATCATTGAAACTATCTTCAGAGCAACAAAACCTAAACTTTACATTGAAAAGGAAATTTGAATCCCTTACTCCTAGACTTGAGGTTTTTGAATGAGATAAAATCTCCTTAATCAGTGTTTACAAGTACGGCAATGCAGCTAGACATTGCATTACCTCATCTAACTTGCAGATGGAAAGTAACAAAAATCAAGGACATAACTACCATTGATTTTTATCATCTGCTCAGATACAATGCTGTAGTCCTAGAAGGTCAGGACAATGCAAAGACTTGCAAAACACTGCTTAGAAGATAATGGAACTTGTATATGTCAGTTTACATTACCTTTTACAGAAGTTCTTTGTTTGGGTTTATTTAGCAAATCCATTGTTCAAAAAACATGTGAAGAAGTTAAACAGGTTTCAGACTTTCAGTTATGTGTTATAGATATATAGGCTAGGTGGTTTTTCTGGTTCCTCTGGTCTGAGAAACCTAAATAATACCAACAGGCTCAAAGACACAATTTTTAAACATGCATATTAGCAGATGGTCATGTTGAATGAACCAACCATAGCATGAGGAACAACGTTGCTTAACAGTCAAAGCAAATCTGTCCTAACTTTACCAAAATTTTTTCTTGTGTTCATACTTTTTCCTTTGTATATACTTATGTTTTTATTTAAGTTTACATGGAGGAGTAAAAAAAAAAAATTCAATATGACTCCAATTACAAAAATTGGGGGAATGTCTAATTACCCTAAAAACTTACTTTATCAGAAAGTAGCTGAGTGAATCTGAAAGCATCTGACCTAACATCCTGTCCTGCATCAACCAAAAATACTTCACTCGTTTTAACCTGCCAAAGAATCAATTGACAAAACACATGAAGAATAGTTTAGAAACAAGAACAAATAAAAGAGAATTTTATTAATAATAAAAGAGTAGAACCTTGCAGGAAAGTAATTTGTTTTTTAGATTTTCACCATCAGAAGAACCTTTTGTTTTACTCAAGTACGTGGCATCTCCCAAGTGTACCAGCTGCAAAAGTAAGATTTGCCATGTAGTCATTAATGGGCACAAAATGCCCATGGCATGGTAGGCATTAATTTGATTGAATAGTTTCAAAGAAAAATAATAAAGAATGATTGCAGAAGCTATCAACTGACTGGATCACCTTTCATTAAATAGTAGGTACAGGCTAAGATCAATACCTTAATAATTTCCGGGTCATTCCACGGTCCCTTATCAGATCTAATACACCCACCCTTATTTGGGCAGGAGCAAGTTCCACCAAGAAACTCGGGCAATTGGCTGCTTGAGATATAAAAAGTTCAGTGACTGTTGAAAAATCAGCTAGCAGTAATACATTGCAGAAATAATACAGAAGAAATGACAACCTGGCATCAATAGTTTCCATCAATTTACTTTGGAATTTGTTGCCAAGAACCTGAATGATTTGAGAAGAAAAATATTTTATTAGTCAATATTACCAATTCCGAAAGCCAAAAAAAGAACAGCTACTGACAATCCCATACATGAATCTTTGCAGTAGTCCTTGGATCAAGAAAGCTTTTTACTGTATTCCATAGGAGTTTGAAGCCACTTCCAGCATTTACTATGTACATTTGATGTAATGTCTGTTCAGAATAACCTAGTGTCAATAACAATTGTTGACTTTATACACTAACAATTTGGAAATTTAGTTTAAACAAATAATGCACCTCAGGATAGTTATCACCATCAATTTTCTGAATACGCATTACAAGATCATGCGCAACCTTCCCAAAGCTCATCCAGTTCTGCATAATCATGAAAATAATGAGAAAAAAATATATGGTAGAAAATGCTTATGCTATGCAGCTTATAGATACTGACCAACCCCTGCACATCTAATATTGTGATTGTAGAATCTATATGCCTTTTGACAGCGATAGAACATGCAGGAAATTTTTCCATAAAAATCTTCTCAAACCCCTGAACATGGTACTTCAAAAACCGGTCCACCGTGGTGACACTCATCAGCTTGGCAGGTTCAATTTTTCCAAGTCTTTCAATGTAAACAGGTCGACCCTCTTTGTCAACGCCATGGTATCCATGGGGATAGCAATGCTGGACTTCTTCAAATTCTGCATATTCAAAATCCTGCATATGTATTGTTGTATTCTCTGTAAGATTTAAGACATTGACAATTAAGTAAACAAGTAACAAGCAAAATGGCATGTTCATACAAATCTTGGATACATATCTCACTGGTATTAACTTCTTCATGAAAAAAAAAAAAAAGAAAAAGAAAAGCAAAAGAAGCATTTTTTACCCGTATGATAGAATCTACTCCAAACTCTTTTCTCCAGTTGAGCATTTCTGCCCACATCTGTACAGTTTTATCAAGGTCAAACTTCCTTGCCTTCAAAAATCTGCAGAAAACAAAATTAAAGATTTTAACAATGGGATGGATAATTTTGAAAGTGAAGGCACTGGGGAGGAAAAGGGAGAAAAATGAAAATGTTAGGTAGTAATTTGCACAAGTATTTGTTTTTATCAATTAATTAGACCAACTCAGTGGCAATTTGATGCAAGTCATACATTCAAGATTCTTCATGCACTCTATTGCATCTACACCATGCCATCAATAAATAAAACAATCATAAATTTCCCTATCAGTTTAGTGACTCTGAAATAATTAAAATTCTTAGAGAAACCAAAAAAACTCAAGATCAAAGATTTAAACTCATTTTTAGCAGCGTGATTTCAATTAGAAATAGTTTCAAGTTATAAAATCAATTTAAAAACTCAATCACACTCCTATATAACCACAGTATGACCTACCACAGCTTTTCCTTACTGGATTTATCTAATTATCTTATCCAAAGTGTGTTGTAGTAGTAGTATGATCCAACCACAGGAAACACATCTTATAGCATACTTCAAAAAAAAAAAAACAAAAAACACTCACACATGTATCATTGATTCACATAAGCTGTTTGATTATCTGGAGTCTAGACAGTTAATTACCTCAACATAGTGTGGTAGTCATCATGACTAGCCGGAAGCAGATCTTTTGTAATCAGTGCCTGGCGAAAAGCATTCACAGCCTCCTCCTCCTTCGCATCCCTAACATCCTCAATGGAAATCCCTGCATTCCGGCAATCAACTACACGTCTGCCACGTTTCTTGAAACTATGCGTAAGCTTCGTTGAAGCAGTCATTGCTTTCTTCTTCAGAGATCTACCTCGGATTCTTCTCTTCTCGTCTTCTGATGTCTCAATTTCGTAAAGGTTGCCGTCTCTTTTAGCTCTATCATTTTCTTGGATCGTCGAATTCACCCCTCCTGATATCAGAAAAACGAAATAAGAAATGCATAAGTGATACTTCGATGCTTGATTTCAGCCCCATCTAGTGGGCTAGTGAATGAATTTACCAGGCATTTTTGTATGCAATTCAAATCAGAATTCACCGAAGCAAACAAGCACAGAAGATCTCAGACTTGAATGAAACAGTACTGCCAAATACACCAACCGATCTAGTGGATCTACAAGATTCTCGGGCAAAGCTGTTGTTGTCGAACACGACAAAATTGACCAGAATATTAACATAAACCGAGCACAGCAAAAGGACACAAACGACACACAATGATCAGAAAACCAAACGGAATTAGACCGCCGCCAGATCCGAAACCGAAGATCAGAACACCAAAAAGGATCGGAAAAACAATATTTCAAAGGCGGCGTTTATTTATCCGACGATCGGCAAACCAAAAGAATCGCCGTACCCGGAAAGCAACTGCATTCACGCGATTCAGGCCAGTAGCCTACTATTACTAACCTCACAAAAACCGCATGTTTCATTGCATCATACGTATGCGTATTTATGAATCCTCCTTGTATTCACACAAATGGCAAAGTTGTTAGCTTTAGGTTATGAGGAGGCGGGCTTTTCTCTCTCTCTAAGCGCCCCTCCACTCTATAAGAAAGAATAATAAAATATTTTATTTATTTAAGTATCGTTAATTTAGCCAAGCAACGTCGGCGGTGTTGCTTTCGTCAAGGGGGAAGGCAGGCACGTCGTTGTCTGAAACGTTTCAGTTTTCCGGTTTACACACAAAAATAAAAAAAAAGGTTGGGTGAAACGGCTGCTTTTGTTTCCCATCGGTTCTGGCTCCGTTGGCCGCTAATTAACGGACGTCAGGCGCTGTTAGTTAACGTAGACGGTGGTTATTAGGTACGGGGGAATTTACTGTCTGCGTAGCAACGGAAGGAGAGAATGGCCACTGCGGATTGGCCACGTGGAGATGCGTTGGCCAATGTGGCACTTTAATTAGGGATAAGGAAGGAGAGTAACGTGCGCTTACGGTGAGGATCAACGGTGATGACATCCAGAAAAGCCTAGTTTAACCCCTCACCTTCTCAAATTTAAAGGTTTTATCTCTCACCTTATGTTATATTATATTATGATACTTTTAATCATTTATCTTATTAAATTTATAAGTTTTAATCCCCTTCTTATACTATGATACTTTTAGTCCTTCACCTATTAAAATTGAAGAAAATAACCCTCACTTTATAGTATTTTATTAGTTCTGTTAACTGACTATTAATTTTATTATTTGACTATTAGTTAATTATTAACTAACAAAAACTTTCTTTTAACTAATAAAGTTAACATAACTAATTTTATAATATTTCGTTAATTCTGTTAACTGATATTAGTTGACTGTTAGTTGATAAAAACTTATTTTTAACTAATAGAGTTAACAGTTAACATAAAATAAAGGCTATTTTCTTTGATTTTAATAGATAAGAGGCTAAAATCTATAAATTTAATAAAGTAAAGGCTAAAAGTATCATATCATAAGGTGATGGGTTAAAACATTCAAACTTAGTAAGATGAAGGGCTAAAACCAGGTTTTTGCCCAAATGACAGGTGAACAAAAATAATAACCGACTTATTTGTATGACAGATAAATATTATTGTAAAATTTTTATGATATTATTTTTTAAATGACTTTTAAAAAATTAACAAAAATGCTTTAAATTATATTTTAATAAAGTATTAAAAAATTAAAATAATTTTTAAAAAATAAGTTATTAAGTTATTTAATTTTTTAATAAAAATTTATTAAAACAATATAATTTTAAATCTTTTTCTTCTCATTGAGATAAATTAATTAATTAAAAAATAAAATAAAAAACTTTCTTCTCCTCACCTCCCTTCTAATTATTTTGACAATCAAATAAAAAAATTTTCTTCCTCTTCCCTACTTCTTCTCTATCTAAATTCACTCTTAACCTTTTTAATATCCAATTAACAAATATTTTTATTAATTTTTATTTAAAATTTTTACATAAATAAATATATATAATATCAATAATGATAGTTTTATTTAATTTAATGAATAAAATTAACAACTATGGGATTCGAAAAAATTGTTAATCCCTAATTTCAAACTATCTTAAATATCTCATGAGCAATTATTCCAAACTTTCAATTTCTCACCCAATTAGGTTGACGGTCAAAAACAAAATCCAATTAAGTAAAAAGAGTAAACAAAAATTAAGTTAAACCCCCAGTTTAATCCATCAACTATTGTATGAATCTTTAATTTTGTCTCTAAACTAAAAAAATCCTTGATTTGGTCTATATTGTTTATCAATTTGACTTCAAATTAATCCTTTCATATGAGAATAGATAACATGTCTCATTATTAACGTAATACGTGGTCATTAAGTAATAATTTTTTGTCATTAAATAATGATTTTTTGCCATTAAATAACTACATATCAACTATTTTTTAACAAAAAGACTAACTTGAGTCAAATTGATAAATAATAAAGATCAAATCAAAGATTTTTTTAGTTTAGGGACCAAATCAGGGTCCGTACAATAATTGAGGGACCAATTGGAGTTTAACCTAGAAATTATGATATATCATCAAATTTTATTATTAATCAACAAAATTATTTTTTAAGCATGCCATGCCAACTAAAG